TTGTGGTGGGAAGCTGACGTGCAGGTTTGAGGGCAGCAGAGAAAGGTGCCATTCGGCCACATTCACCTTAGCATTTCAAAAGTCTAGGTCTGATTCGATCTAGTAGCCAAGTTAGTTTTTCCAGAAATACTCAAGCAATTCCAAAAACACTTTTTTGACATCACAATAGATGGTCACAGTGAAGAAAACTTTTGCATTTTTGCAATAAATACACCTAAATATTGAAACCTGGTGGGACTGTAATCGGAATCTAATCGCTTATCATATCTTGGCTTAAATGTATGAAAGGATAGGATGCTTTAATACAAGATGTGCCAGGGGAATAGTTACTGATATGATAATGTTTCTTATGCTTTGCAGTGGGAATTTGTGAACAAGAGTCGACCAAGTCCTGCAATCACCAGTCAGAAAGAAAATCTTCAGTAAGTAAATACAGTAAGACCAGCTACTACCACTGCCTGATTCCTTTTAAATCCTAATACCTGTTCATGTGCTGCACATTACCAATGTGTCTGTCTGTGGCAGTATTTAGGAGAATTTCTCATGCTTCTCTAAAGCTTCGAGACAATATGGATGCCAAAGGGTCCAAGCTGGGAGCCACTCACTGGCACAGGACTGCGGCTGTTGCGGGAACAGCGGCAGTTTGCAGGACTTAACCTCGTGTTTCTTAGAGAATGTCACAAATTGGGAAAAATACCTTTCTAAAAACATAGTACAAACAAAATAATTCACATTTTCCAGCACATCATCATCAAAAAATAAGCATCTCGGATCAATCAAATATGTCAATAAAAAGTCAGGAAGGAAATCATAATACAAAAAAATAAAATTTAATTTTGTAATGGACAGGCAAAAATGCTTTGGCTAAGAAAGACTTAGCTTTATTAAAATGTTTTATTTTCCTCCTTTTTATATATATTAAAAAATGAAAGTCATCACATTAAATAAAAACTTGATTTTCAAAGCAGAAGTAGCCCTTTGAAAAGTTTCTGCCTAACACCAGACTGCTATAGAATCTGTACAGCTTCAGATGCTTTTTTAGATGGTTACAGTATATTGGTTAGCTGGGCTATGCTCGAGAAAAACAACTGTGTAATATTGAAGGATGGTTAAAATCAGCAGTTTTTAGTGTAATTAAACTAATCCTGCCTAACTGCAATTAAGCTGACTGATCTTCAAAGCGTATTTGCAAAAGCAGTTTCAAGCATCTTTTACTTCTTTGGGATACTTACAGAGCACCTAAAAGTATCCAGTCTGATACCTTAATCCCATGGGATATAAGGAAGTTGATTCAAGAACAGTTAAGCTGCTGTGTATTAGTGGAAAGAATATGATCATTTTTTTCAAAATCCCCACTGACATCTGTAATAATGGTTATTATCTGAAATTTTTAGGTTGTGTCGAGTTTGTTTTTTTTTTCTAGCTTTGGGTAACCCACCCCTGGCTACAATCTCAGCCCTTGCAAGCTTCAGTAGGCTGCTCAGAGGAAAAAGCAACAGAGATCCCAGGTGTATGATCAAGAGGGTGTGAGGGAAGTCAGAGCCACGTAGTGACTGGGCCCTTGCGTGAGACCATGGCAGAACTGAGGTTTGAGCAGTTCCCACTCAAGTACACACTTTATTTTGCTCAGTGAGATTTCAGACATTATTTGTGCGGCTCTTAGCCTGCCTGCTCGTATTGAGGGACCTACAGCATTCATTCATTTCCCTAAAATAACCTCTTTCCTCAGATTAACCTCAGGTTCATCAGTTCTCTTCCTTAACTGCCTGCCTTTCCCTCCAGCAGTTTCCAGTGTCGTCGGCCGCCCCGACCGCAGTGAAGCAGGCGGCTCTCACAGAAGCACCCGCAGACGCCGGCGCCTTTACGGAAGAGTGAGTCCCTCTTCCTCCCGCCAGCCGTAACGAAACGGCGCTCGGGGCGCTGTCTGTCACGAGAGGGAAGAGGTCACCTCAGCTGTAGGGCACCATCTCGCCGGAAACAAAAAGCAATCCTCAGCTCAGTGTTTCCTCTGAATCACGGTTGTAAAACTTCAGCGGTTTGTAGTAAAGAAACTCTGCTGGCTTGCCAAAAGGGAGGGAGGAACGGGCTAAAAGATATATACATTGATTATATCTTAACTATGGCTGTTTATACAGATGCCCTGGTGGCCATTATGTTTCTGCTGTGTGACTGGGAAAAAAGTGTCTACATCCAAATTTAAATATTTTCCCCAAAAGCAGTCTATAATATTTGCTCTCAGGCAGTTTAGAAAAATGCAATTAAGTATTTTTAAAACAAAAAGAGCTACTTTGTCTCTAAAGTGTAATTAAGGATGAGTTTGACCATAGTATAAATTCTTCATAAATACACAACTAACTCAAAAATGGATGTGGGTTATATCCAAGATAACTCCACAGATACTTTCTGCAACTCTGCCTTTGCAAATGGGCTGCAGAGAAGCTTTTTTCAGTGGCTGCTCATGCTAAACATGCCACAGCCCCCAGCCCGTATGTCAGCGTTGCCGCTGTCCGTGCACAGGGCTGGCGCTGGTGCGGGTCAGCACAGCTCCCACAGACACGTGGGAGCTCCCAGTGCTCAAGCTCTGGCACGGCGGCCGTGCCACGGGGATGTCACAGTCTTAAGGGGCTTTGTGAGAACCAGCTTTTCCATGTCTGGTTGATGTAAACGTGGAGGGAGCCCCACAGAGACCGACTGATGCCCTTCTGTGCTTTGTTTGGCAGCCACAGACAGCGCTCGAGGAAGGCCACGGACTATGACCTCAGCCTGCCCCCGGGAGCAGAGGCTTCTCTACCTCTGACGGGGGGCACCCTGTGCGGGACACCCAGCCTCCTGAGGAAGATGCTGATGAAGCACAAGAAAAAGCCAGAGTACCTGGGGGCAACGAACAGTGCCTTCGAGGCAGACTGACGAGTCTCGGCATCACCTGCAAAGGCAGAAATTGCTTTAGCCAGAACAAGATGCTTTAGGATCCATGTGGAGCCAACACGGCACCGCTCATCTGGGGAAATGATATCACTCTTATGACTTGATGCCATTATCTCAGAGAGATAGGAGAAAGGATAACTATGGTCAAAAAACAGCAAATATGATGACTCATTGGCTTTCTTTGTTGTGACATACTAGAATCCCAAATATTCCAATAGATTTATGTCTTGACTCAGTGATGCTGAAACTTCTGCTAATACATTCACTATTTTACCTGTCCTTAGCTCAGCCTCAAAATAATAATAATAAAAAAACCTACCAAAAAGTTTGTGTACTTCTGCAAAATCAATTATAGAGTGCCATTAAATCTCAGGGGTTTCTTTATTCTGCACCAGTGCTTGTCCTTTCTCCTTCTCATATCCTATCCTCTGAAGTGTGAGTTAAAAACTGCATCTTATGAAATGCTTGGTTGACTGATATACGCTAAACATCTTCCTTATTCAGTTTTGATGCCTCAAGACATGAGTGAACAGATGCAAATTTTTTTAAAAGAATGGGTGAGTCAAAACTTAGCAAGTTTGCAAATGCATATTTACCAAATTCTGCTATGTGACAGATGATTAGTGTTTTAAAGTGTCCTGCCAGATCAAACTATATGAGCAATTGAATAACTCAGGAGGCCTTCTACAGGCCCTGCTTTTATGTTAACTAACAGTCAACAACTTTCTGTCTGCGTGTGTGTGAGAATATTTCACCAAGTGCAGAAGGTGCTAGGAAGGAGAAGACATATAAATGTGTGATTGTGTATAGGAGACCTGAGCTTATCAGCTGATAGGTTTAATGAAATTTTCTGGAAAAACAAAATAATTGTTTTGCCAGCTTACAAATCGCTGATCATAGTCCCTTGTTTTTTCCCATCAAAAGAAAGTTATACTAACTGTTTCAGCAGTGTTAGAGGCAGTATTTTATTATAATACTTGCCTCCTAAATGCTTTCCTAGTTATTATGAAAGAATTCAGTTTGTCTAAATACAGAACCTTAAATATAAAAAACTGGGTAAAACGTAGCTCTGTAGCTCATAGTAATAATCTTTTCTAACCAAACTGCCAGTGCTCCAAAACCTTAATGAGAAATTACATGCCCTGCTCAGAGACAGGAATAAAAGAACGAAGCTCCGGTAGGACACTTGCTTGCCTGCAGCCAGGATAGTGAAGCTGCTGAGACACTGTCTCCTACAGTGCCACATTACCAGCGTGAGGCGGCTGCACGGTATCAGGTGACCCCAACTGCATGACTGCAACAGGCAGTGTCGGCCTCCAGCTGCTGAATTTCAGGGAGTTCAGGTGAACATGTATGGCACCCAAACTTTCAGTTAACCTGGCCCATAGACCACCCAGCAAGGCAGCAAGAGTTTCATCTGTTCAGAGCTGTTTCTTAGTATTAGATATTGTTAACTCATAGCTTTAAGCAGTGTGAGGATGGAGGAGAAAGAGGAGAAATGATAAATGCTTCTACCTAACAATTGCTGTATCTCAAAATGTGTATTTATGTTTTTTACTTATAACTTATTTTAATTTGTAACTTGGATCAGAAAAGCAGATCAGTTATGTTTCTTGAAACATAATTACTCTGTATTCTGGGGACCGCTGTAGAGATTTCTTGTATTGCAGTAGATAGCTATTTTATTGATTCAAATAATATATGTCCTATTCATAAAAAAAAAAAAAAGAAATATGTAACATGTGGCAATACATGGGTCTTGTGTCTTTAAACGTTTTGGGAAGCATATAGTGGAAAATAAAGGTAGGTGTTACGATGCTGCAAAAACAGGTACATTAAATAACAGAGAATCCAACTTTTTCTTTGCTATAGGAAGGGTCTGGAAGAAGAAGAATCATCCTTTGTTATTTGATACTCAGATTTAAAGCCCTGGGAGGTGGATATCCAGGTTCCTAGTGAGACATCTGGCTCCAGGGCACTCCAGACATGATGCTGAGTCCCAGTAGGGCCCTGGTGGGTGAGGGTTGCACCTCTCTCCCATCCATTATAAACACCAAGATAAAGATGCCTTGAGATTAAAGTTGTGGTAGAAAACGGAGCCAAGCTCCTCCTATCTCCAGCCTTAGCAGCATGGGAACACTTGGGAACGACACGCTGAACCATGGAAAGTGGGTGGACCCACCATGAGGTGGGTCATGCAGGAGACAGGGGTGGCCTTCTTCACCAGCCTGGGTGAAGAGGTTGGGAGCCAGTGAGGAGCTGCCCGGCCCTGGGCCTCCACCACATGAGAAGGTGCCAGATTGCCCGTGCTTCCACTACGGGTAGCGCCTGTGCTGACCATGTCCTGCGTGGCAGCAGTCTCCTGAGGAGCGCACATCCCACAGGATGCACGCCATGTTTTTCCAGGACACAGGGAAACCACCTGGCCTCAGCTAGGTATTCCACCGTGAACACATCATCTTTAGTCATTCATTAAAAACATCAGCATGAGTACAGAAGAGGATGTGGATGTGCGACACACTTTCCAGATGGACCTGTGCGGAAAACAGCACTGGCTCAGCTCAAGCACGCTGTCAACCAGCAGCGATGTGGTACCAGTGGCGCAGTACCACGTTGTCCATGCAGGACAGCAGTTCGTTGCGCTGCTCTGAGCGTTTCTCGTGGCACTGTCCCCACACAGGCTGATCGTCATACTTTACCACATGTATGAGAGGCTTTTTTCACATTTCTTGTTACTTTCCAATTTTTGATTCACCACAGGAGACTAATTGGCACGGACAAGACTGAACAAGACTATGTGGTGCTAGTCTCAACTCTACTGACAATTAAATTGCAATAACCTACTCTTCATTTTCAAAAAAAAATGGTTCCTAATTTGTCACCATTTCAAAAAAAAAAAACTTTGCGATAGAGCTACTGATTAAAATATCCACTATTTATTTGCATATGACTTTATTTAAATAAACTGTAGCTTATTTAAAGCTAGGCTACCCTATAAACTAATAATTCTTACCCATGCATGAAAAAAGAACCTCAAATAATGTTTTCCTAACTTCCTTCCCCTTTTGCATTCACTCTTCAGATCCTATAGCAGAGAGTTGCCAAAATAGCTGCTCACAGACACATCTGTTTCGGGCAGTTCTGCAGAATACACGTTTTTAGGCCACACATCAGAATTTCCGTGATTGACTTCCCCTCACATGGGAGAAGAAAAAAAAAAAAAAAACACAGCAGAGTTTCGAAATGCTATGGAAGGGCCAGGGAGCCTCTCGGCAGAGCAGGAAGGGCAGCGACGCGGCCTGAGCGCCACAGGGCAACGCTGCCCCCCCAGCCGGCCATGGCGGGGCCGGACTTGCTACCCAGCTGCTCTGTTTTCACCTCACGCTTTCCTGCGGTGTGGCCACGCTTTGCATGGCACCAAAACCACCCCGCGCTGCCTTTCCGGGACGGCGGGCTGCGCTGGGCCGGGGCGCAGAGGAGACCTGCAAAGGCCCCGCGGCGACAGCGGCCCAAGGGCGGCCTGCGCGCGGGAGACGGCCTTGCCACGGGCCAGGTGCCCTCAGGGCACGGGCTTCGCGAGCGACCGTCTGCTCCAGCTAACTCAGAAGTTTAGCTAAATGTTGAACACTTTCTACTGAATTCAGTAGTTGTATTAGTGAGACTGCATTTCAACGTGAGACTGCACAGAAAGTGATTTCTCTTTTTTTCCTTAAAATGGAGAAGGAACCTTTCCCATAAAAACTGCAACCCTGCCTCTTTATAACTGCATCCTTGAGCCCTCATAAAAATGGATGTCCAACATCTTTCCTTGAGGATTGGGAGGCAAGCTGATTTTTCAGCTACATTTGAAGAGAATTGGAGAGAGACTTGCCTGCAACGAACCCTTAGCAAGAGGGTTCATGAGCACCTGGTGACTCTCCAAATCTATTATTTTCATCAAGATGGCACCCCAAACCAAAGCCTGACTAATCAGGCTAAAAATGTTTGCATAATAGAAACACCCAACGTGCAGGAGGTGGGCTATCCCACTAGTGGACACAAATAAATAAATAAATAAATAAACTTTCTTGTCATATTCCTGCATGGACAGACCCCCTGAGCTTTAAAACCAAATTGCTACCCAGAGCAGTGCAGGATAGATATGTTATTTGGAAGAGGTTCAGATTGCCGTCCATAAGATCAATGTCCCCCGTCATTACAAGAGTTTCAGCGACCAGCATCTTTGCTCATCCCTCAAGGAGAGGCCATAGGGAAACAAAGTGGAAATAAAGCGAGGTAGCAGAACTGTGGTTCACACAGTCAGGCTTCTCTCCATGAGCACTTTGTAGAGAGGAGAGGAAAAAAATAGCTAACAGATTTGAGTGAGTTCACACGGTTACACCCCCATTTTAATGTTCTCGGGGGCTCCTCTGAAGACCCCCAAACTCAATGCATTGCCAAGGGGCTCCTATACGTTGTGGAGGCCATGTTACCTCCAGAAACCCAGCACGGGCACCCTGCCAGGGCAGCGGTGAGCAAACCTCGACCACATGCGGCATTAAAAGCTGCTTCACCCACACAGGGCTCCATGTGGATGGCTGTGCCAAGCTGCTGGCCAGCCCTGCTGCCTCCTGCCTCACAGGCAAGGCATTTAGAGGGTCAGCAAAAGGGTTCTGCCAGAAAATAAAGATAGCTTGTCTTCCTCAGCTGCCTAAAAATAGCATGGAAGAGTGCTCTGCTGTGATAAACGTCCTTCCTCTAAAGCCACAAGCGTGAAGGCCTGCAGTAGCCCAGCTAAAACCTCCGTAAGGATTACTAATAGAGAGTAATGAGGAGTAGGATTGAAACTTAAGTCATTTTGATGGAGCTCCTGCAGGGACTTCCACGCCGCTCCCCACAGTCCCAGCTGCTCAGTTCTCAGCAGTGAACGTGACACGGGGAGCAGGTCCCCGCTGCAAGAACCCCTTACCCAGCCAGACCTCCCTATTCCTGCATACCAATTTAGGCCCTTTGGAAACCTGAGTGGCTCCCGGAGCAAGCCCAGGGCCTCCAGCCCATGCAGAGGGAGATGCAGCCCCATGAGCACTGA